ATTTTAATCTATGTGGTATGTGGTAACTGTAAAAAGTTAAGATTCACCAAACCAAACACTTCTGATTTTATTTATTTGTATATTATAATATATATAACATGTTAAACACTGTTACAAACACATTCATTGACAATGTTGAGGACAACACAAAAGTCACAGATGACTAATGTACTCCAACACATAGGCTACATTAAAATAGCATACATCTTTTCCTGTAAAACTGCAAAACAAAGACAAACTTAACTGGACAAACTTATTACAATTTGCTCGTTTCAGCCTGATGAAACCTACCTATTAATGAAGAGATGTGCTTTCATGAGATTTCATAATCAACGCCCCTAAAATCAGGCTACCTGTTCTGCTGACGATGCACTCTGTGATGGACATGACGAGGAAGTGATTTGAAATGAGATTAGACGCTAAAAAATGTCTTGTGAATGCGAAGCTGTACGAGATACGAAAGGTGTGCAGGGGGACGTAACAGTGACGCAGATATAAGACGAGATAATATATTATAAGGTGATGTTAACACTGTTGGAGCAGCAGATGATGATACTGGACAGAAATCTGCATAAAGACCCTGAGGCAGCTGTCTGAGTGAGAGAACTGTCTTAACAAATACTCATGTGTAAGTCATGATGCCATGATGATGATTATAATATGGAAAATTAACTTGTCTTAGTTTTATTTCAGTTGTACTCATTTAAACAACAAATTAATTTGCATTAATTATGACTTCAGGTCAAATTAGTGCTTTTTGTCCTGTGGTCATAATAGGTCTGGACCACCCATCAGTATCATTCGCACCTCAGAGAAAATTAAAGTATGAACGCCACAAAAAAGAACAAATCTGCTGCTACGAGTGGTTCTTGCATGATGCGAAATGTTTAATCCTAATGTTGATAATAAATGGAATTCAGGCATTTCCTTCAAAACTTATTTGCTCATTTTCTGTTGCAAGAAAGTATAAAAACACAATTTCTAAGAGACCGGGTTGTATTAGCTTTTAAATGTTTTCACTAAATATATACAAGCATTTTATATGAATATAAGCTTTTATGTGTATGATTCAGGCCCTGGCCTTGGGCATTGAGCTGTAGCTGAAATTGTGGCTGTGGTGAAGGATTTACTTTGTCTCTTATGCTATAGTTGGAAAAATGTACTGTTTACTGAAAGCATAATGTTGTTTGTGATAACTTTGCACTTTGGACAGAAGCTCAGAATTCATAACGGCATCTTGTTGCACATTTGATGAGGTTAGACAGTAAACTAGCTTGTGCTGCTTGCAGATGTATTGAAAGCAAAACACATTGAATGGACAACAACACTGCTTAAATGATTTCTGTTGATTATATATATATATATATAAAAAAAACACACAATCTTTTGTGTAGTAGAATTGTTGTGCCAGTGTACTATATGGTACAACACAAATTATTATGTTAAGATAAATTCTTTGTTACATCCTGTACAACTATGTCAGAAATTAAAGTTAATAATTCACCATTTTGTTATCAGAAAATACTTAACATGGGTGACATACTATTTCAGGAATGTCAGTTATCATGTAAAACAAACTTGGATTTAAAATTACACAGTGTTCATATCACATTGGCTTGGTGTATTTATACAGATTGAAACCTTACTGATATGGCACCACAGGGGCTACAGTGCATTCTTTGTCTTCATCAGACATACTCAAGGACTTTAATAGAGTACCGGCACTTCTGATTTTTCTCTAGATGAGTACCCTTAATTCTTATTGCATAATGCCACCTCCTGATCAGTCAAGGCATGTACCCCTAAACACTTGCGTAACGCTTGACTCTTTTTTACCGACTGGAATTCTGCTAAGACCCACCCCACCTTGGCTCTGATTGACTAGTGTTCGTTGCTTTTGTTGGTTTGGTTAGTTAGCATTTGGCATTGAAAAGAGAGATGGTTAGGATTAGAAAAAATGTCAGAGCTCATAAATCTAGCTTAACGCTGAGAAAACAAATTAGGGTTAGGAGATGTTGTTGTTATTGTTAGGGTTGTGCTGAATTATTGTTCCAATTCAGACACAGCTATACAACGTCTACACAGTGTACAGTGAGACTACAGCAGCCCTATATGGTGAACACCCTGTCAAATCAACCCAACTCATCTGACACCTGATTAATATACAATGAATATGCAGTAGCTCAAATAATGCTCAAATACTTAAAGGGGAACTGTCTTAAATCATGATGTCATGATAATGATGATAATATGGAACATGAACTTACTCCATTGCATCAATTAGGATTTCAGGTCAAATTAGTGTTTTTTTGTCCTGTGGTCACTGACATATGTTTATGTCTAGTGAATTCCTTCACATGTTCTTATTGAATATATACAGGCATTGTATAGTAGAAAATAGAAAAATGCACCAATTCCTGAGAGCATAATGTTGTTTGTGATAACTCTCTGGACAGAAGCTCTGAATTCATAACGACATCTTGTTGACTCTACTTACATCAAATTGTGTTTCCAGGTGTTGGGGATTACTTCTACATGTTAGCATTCAGCTGTGTGAAATCTGATAAATAGTCTCAAGTGATGTCACTTGAGTCAGCATCGGTTGGGGCTGAAGACGAAGAAGTTTGAAAAAAATCTGGAGTTGCGGAGTTAGAAAGCAGTGAGCTGACCAGACCTCTGTAGCCGCTCTTCATGTAGCCTGGAGGCTGGCGGCTCGAGGCTCAAGACTCAATTATAAAAAAAACAAAAAAAACACAACTATTTTTGCAATTTTCACGTTATCCCTAAATTTCATTAGAAAAAAACCCAAATCAATCCCCCAAAAATGGCAGTAAAATCATGGAAGGACTGATTGAACACATTATTCAGAAATGTACGATCGTGCATAATGAGTACTTTTAGTTCTGGTACTTTAAATATATTTGAATGCTAATACTTTTGTACTTTTAAACTAGTAACATTTTTAATGTAGTATTTCTATACTGTGGTAATGCTACTTTTTCTTGAGAAAGACTTTTTCCACGACTGGTTTTGACACATTTCACTGTGTGTACAGTACAGTACAGTAAGTGAGTAAATGTGTTTTCTACCACTGATAAGAACCACTGAAATAAATGTGCAGGTAAAAAATTGATTCTAAAACAGCAGATGAGGCAACAACAGTCCATCATTCATCAAAAACTCACCTCACCAGCGTTCATTCATGAGTGCTAACACACGCTGATAGCAGCCACGTTATATTTAGCCGACTGTAAACACAGCGATAGGATGCTCCTGTTGGTATTTCTGTAGTGTTGCTCCTTTCAGCTGGTCTTCAGCCCACACGCCCACGTACACTCTTCTGCAAAGATCCACAGAGGAGCATAAAACCATCATTAAAGGCACATTAAATAGGGATTTGCCTGGCTGATACTTTATCTGCCTGGCCCCTGGGGGTTGCAGTTTGATGAGAGCGGAGATTTGTTCAGGGTTGAGTAGATCTGCAGAGGGCTGTGTGTGTTTGCTTCTCTCTGTATGAGTAAGCTGTTTACTAGTGTTTGTGCAAGTGTGTGTTCGGCTAAAAATATTGTCGTTTCGAGCTGCCTGCCTGTGTGATCCCAGACTCCCCTCAGTGATAACCCACCTGTGCTTACTATACACGGAGGGGTGATAGTCAGTTGAACGGCTCTGCTGGAGGCTTCGCTATGACTCAGTGTGATTCTCTGCCCACAGGCTCTCAACCCACGTACAATATGGACAAGACTCAAGTTAACTCTAATAGGCTATTATTCACTTTTTTTGGCAGGAGCAACTATGGAAACCCTGTGCAAACACTGCCATCAGCTAAAGAGGATGAGCACAACAAGGTCCACATCCTAATGCTTCCCTTTTGGGTCGGATTAAATATCTCAGTCATACTATTCTGTTGCATATTTCACCATGCATACAGAATAACACACGTTTATTTCCACAGTGTAATCAGGATGCATAAAGAGTTGTAAAATCATCCCTCTGGTAATGCTAACTGATTGGGAGCCTTTATTACTTTGTGTTTTCAAAAATAGACCGTCACTTTAGCGTTAAGTGTTGGTGTTGATTTAAGTGCAGGAACAGTTTCCCAAAGGGACATGAACCTCATCAAAGGATAAAACATGTTTTACATCTCCTCTCGTCAAATTGTTTGCAATGAATTCAAACCATCAGGGTAAAATGTACAACATAATTTGCTGGATGCAGGTTGGTGTAGATTTGTAAATTATGTTTGTTTTTGTTCGAATAGTGCTGCTTCAGCTTCAATATTTTGTGCCATAATGTCACTGAATATAAGATTTGGATTTAAATATGAAAAAATAAAAGATGTGTTTTAGCAAAACTGTTGACTTTTCTCTTAATTATCTTCAATTTTGTAGGTGAACAACCCATAAATAAAAATACCCAATATTTAAATTTCTTAAAGGACCGGTGTGTAGGATATAGTGGCATCAGGCAGTTAAGTTCCAGATTGAAACCCACTGAATAGTGCTCGCCTTCCAAGCATGTAGGAAACACTACAGTTCTAGTGTTTGGTTTGTCCTTTCGGGGCCACTGTAGAAAACCAGCTCTTTCTATAGATATAAAAACAGCTCATTCTAAGGTCATGAAAACATAACAATTCTTATTTTCAGGTGATTATACACTAATGAAAACATACCTTTGAATATTATATCTCATGTCTGTCAATATAGCTTCCTAAATATCACACACTGGACCTTTAAAAAACACACATTTTTTCTCCACAGTAGATCAAACACACATTATTCTTACTCCAAGCTTCTTCCCTTGTAACACCTCCGATCTCCCATTCTCTTCTTCTGCGTTTAAACTGCACAAGTGTCCGCTGGAAGGTCCCGTGTGATTTCACTTTGTTCGGAGGGAAACCAGAAGAAGAAATTGTTGCCAGGAAGGGTGAAAAATCGGAGAGGTAGGGCCTGAGTTCATGTTGCACAACATTTTAATTGCATTTGTGTCTGTTGTAAGAGGAGCAAAAGGCACTCTTTAGGATATGCCCAAGAAGTGTATTAAAAAGCTAACTGGGAGCTCTGGCTAGCTGCCAGGGATCTCCAGTTTGCTAAAAAACCAATTCTGGTCGTTCTTTTCCTATTCGACAGTACTCGGTGACCCTCTAGTGATCAAGACTAGGGTAAAAATCTGGCGAATTGCCCCTTTAACGTCTCATCGATCACATAAATTATTTTACATTAAATTATCTACCCTTTAGAGTCAAGTTAAAATTGTTTGACCATCATGGATTATAAAATATATATATAATACTACAGAACTGAAGTGTTTTCAGTGTATTATGCTCTTCTTAAAGTAAAAAGTAAAGTATTTCTGATTCTGATTCTGATTAACTAAACAAAAACGTCTGATTTCCATTCTCCCATGTTTGATGCCCCCCCCCCCCCTTTACTATTAATAGAGATAACAGCAATCAATCAGCCTTTGTGAGTGAGGATGGCTCTCTTTGATTGAACACAGGTGTTCACAGCAATTTTCTTCTGATCACTAATTAACTGTCAGATAAGCAGAAAGCCCAGAGAAAACACTGAGTGAAACAAATACATTCAAACAAGCAATTACACAGCCCACGGAAACAGAACTATAAGAGCACACAGAAGTCTGACATTTTTGATTAAAAACAATATGCTTAATGAAGATACTCCAGCTTATTAGTTCCCAACCTCGGGGTCAGGAACCCCACAAGACCATAAATGTTAAAAGGGCACAAGATTACAGGATTCTGCTGCACAAAATCTTCTTTTGTTGTTGCAAATTACTGGATAATTGTAGCTGTGAAGGTGAAAAAAAAAAAAGAAGAGCAGTTGAGCTGGAGGTGCTGGCAACTGCAACATGTAGTCAGGAAACAAAGTATTTGTGATTGCACGCTGAGTTAATAAAACAAAAACAAATAAAGACCTTATATTAACACTGATAAAAACATGTTTTCGCTCATGAGAAGATCCAAAGGGCCAAAGGCTTAAATACATGAAAACAGCAGTTTGACAAACAGGCTTCAGTTCAATATAATCAATGCAAATTGACACACAGCAATCAAAAGCCGTATTGATTGAACTGCCAGCCGACACAACCGATAACGCAAATGTTTTGTTTTGAAGGGAAACAAATCAAAAGTCCACACTTTAAAAATAAAGCAGAAAAAACTCAAAGGAATAAAACAACCAGTAGCAGAGCTTTATGAGTTGACTCAACATCTATCCTATATCAGCTGATATTTTTCAAGATACCTTAA